AAATTTCTGTGATTTTGGATTTTTTCCAGACGCAATTTTTCCAAACTTTAAGGCGTAGCATCGTATGCCCGGAGGTTTCTCACAACCTGTTGCTTTGATTAAATCCTTGATAGCAGAATGAGTTGTATTCGAGAAGTAGAAAAAAAACTCAAAAAAAAACGGACAAGAAATCAAAAAATTGACATTTCCGAGGGTCATAAGTTTTTGCATACTAATTGGGCGTAACTGTTTGCGCAAAGGAGCTTCCCACAACTCGTGCTACCCATTGATACCATTAACTCAGATTCGGGAGAGCAGTTTTTGAGAAAAGTCAAAACGTTTCAAAATTTGTTCAAAAATCGAACATTTGACTTTTCCAGGGGTCAAAACTTTTTGTGTAACAAAATTTGGGCGTTAAAGCTGGTGCAAGAGAGCCTCACAAAACCCTTTTCACTCATTGAAGCCAAAATGTCAGATTTGCGAGGGTATTCTCCGAGAAAATCAAAAAGTTTCTAAAAACAGTCAAAAATCAAAATTTGATTTTTCAGAGGATCATAACTTGTAACATCAAAAATTTTGGGCCTAGACGCTTATGCAGGAGAGTTTTCCACAACCCGTTCTACAAAATAAGACCAATATCTCACCTTCCAGAGCGTAGTTTTTGAGAAAAATCAAAAAGTTTCAAAAAACAGCAAAAATTCATAACTGTTTGTGTTCAAAAGTTTGGGTGTAATCGCTTTAACAGGAGAGCTTCTCAGAATCCTTTCTCATCAATGAAACCGATATCTTAGTATGGGAGGGCATTTTTTGAGAAAAAATAATAAATTCGAAAAAAAACGGTCAAAAATCGAAAACTTCACTTTTTTGAGGGCCATAACTTATTTTTTGTAAAAAAAAATGGCGTGGCGGCTAATTCAGTGGAGTTTGCCACAATCTGCTCTGTCCATTCAATTCAAAATCTCACATTGGGGAGGGTAGTTTTTGAAAAAATGTAAACTTTCAAAAGTATGGGTCAAAACTTCAAAAACTCACCCCATTTACTTTTTCAAAAGCTGGAATAAGGTAGAGAGAGCCTCAAAACTAAACAGGCACACATGGAAGTGGGTGTACTTTCATTGGTACCTTTTTTTGAAAATTGGTAGAGTAGTTTATGAGAAAATCTGAGTTTTTAAAACGTCCAAATCTATGTTTTTTTCTCGACACCAAATGAACAATCTTCCCCATAAAGCTAAACGGTAAATTTCAGCCACCAAGACTGCATGTACTATGCTCAACCCTGATTATCTGAATTGTATTAGTTTTAATCAAGGTAACAACTTCCCCTTAGATAATTTTCAATGTGAAGATTGTTCATTTGGTACTTTTTTGTCATACAATTCCATGTTTTTATGAAAAAAAGTTGATAGCCAATTTTGTTGACAAAACAAACTAAAAGTCCAGCTGAAGCGGGAGGTACCTGTTTGATAATTTTTGATTTTGTTGTATTGATGCGGGATGAAGTAGATATTTTCAAAAACTTAAGGATTGGGCTTCTCCCATAACGTTAACTGTTGCTCTATTAAAAAATGAGTGAAAATTTCTGTGATTTTGGATTTTTTCCAGACGCATTTTTTCCAAACTTTAAGGTGTAGCATCGTATGCCCGGAGGTTTCTCCCAACCTGTTGCTTTGATTAAATCCTTGATAGCAAAATGAGTTGTATTCGAGAAGTAGAAAAAAAACTCAAAAAAAAACGGACAAGAAATCAAAAAATTGACATTTCCGAGGGTCATAAGTTTTTGCATACTAATTGGGCGTAACTGTTTGCGCAAAGGAGCTTCCCACAACTCGTGCTACCCATTAATACCATTAACTCAGATTCGGGAGAGCAGTTTTTGAGAAAAGTCAAAACGTTTCAAAATTTGTTCAAAAATCGAACATTTGACTTTTCCAGGGGTCAAAACTTTTTGTGTAACAAAATTTGGGCGTTAAAGCTGGTGCAGGAGAGCCTCACAAAACCCTTTTCCCCCATTGAAGCCAAAATGTCAGATTTGCGAGGGTATTCTCCGAGAAAATCAAAAAGTTTCTAAAAACAGTCAAAAATCAAAATTTGATTTTTCAGAGGATCATAACTTGTTGCATCAAAAATTTTGAGCCTAGACGCTTATGCAGGAGAGCTTTCCACAACCCGTTCTACACAATAAGACCAATATCTCACCTTCCAGAGCGTAGTTTTTGAGAAAAATCAAAAAGTTTCAAAAAACAGTAAAAATTCATAACTGTTTGTGTTCAAAAGTTTGGGTGAAATCGCTTTAACAGGAGAGCTTCTCAGAATCCTTTCTCATCAAGGAAAGCGATATCTTAGTTTGGGAGGGCATTTTTTTGAGAAAAAATAATAAATTCGAAAAAAAACGGTCAAAAATCGAAAATTTCACTTTTTTTGAGGGCCATAACTTATTTTTTGTAAAAAAAATTGGCGTGGCGGCTAATTCAGTGGAGTTTGCCACAATCTGCTCTGTCCATTCAATTCAAAATCTCACATTGGGGAGGGTAGTTTTTGAAAAAATGTAAACTTTCAAAAATATGGGTCAAAACTTCAAAAACTCCCCCCTTTTACTTTTTCAAAAGCTGGAATAAGGTAGAGAGAGCCTCAAAACTACACAGGCACACATGGAAGTGGGCGTACTATCATTGGTATGTTTTTTTGAAAATCAGTAGAGTAGTTTTTGAGAAAATCTGAGTTTTGAAAAAGTTTTGAAAGTTTCCCTACAGACAGAAGGTACAGTTTTTGCTTGCCAAATTTTTTTTAGTAAAGTGTTGGTTTGATCATAGAAAAGTTTTACGATTAAAATAGATTCCCTGATTTTGAAAAATTTTTTTGTAGCAACGGAAAAAAACTTATCATACAATATCCAAATGTGTGTTTTTTTCCATAAAGTTAACCTAGGGATGGAAGGGGTTCAGGAGGAAGTGAGTTTCGGAGGGGTTTTAAAAAATAGAAGTTGTTTTGACCTTTTTTCAGGTCGTCCAAAACAGTTTTATCTGTTTTTCCTAAAACAGATACATCAATTTTACGGTGTAACAAAACAGTTTCACAAGGTTAAGTATGAGACCAATTATGTTTCCATGGCGTAACCCGCATCCAGTTTCAAGCGTCAGTAATCGAGTATAGTACAATTTTACAGTATTACAAACATTGAGAAAGTTATGATTTTAATTATTTAATAATCGATTAAAATCTCTCTTTTTGAAATCAAATCTAATCAATTATAACACATTTTAATCGATTAAAATCGATGATTTTTATCCGAATTTCTAATTCATTTTCTTTGCAGAAAAAATCTATTATAATCGATTGTATTTGTTTATAATTTTTTTGTTTGCCCATTTTGTCATCAACCTTGCTCATGAATTGCTTTTATTTTATGCTTTTCGTGGACGTTGGTTTATATGAAAAACTGGGAGCATTGTTGTAACAATTTTCAAATCAATTCATACTTATAACGTCTTTATTTTTTTCTTGATTATAGTTGTTTCATGATGTACTTTTTAAACTTTTTGACCACCAAAACATCAGCACACTGCGTTATTTTCATGATTTATATAGAAGAGTTATATTTCACCTGCCGTGGGATTTTTTCAACTAAATCGAAGGGATCTCTATGAAACTTTTGTTTCGTGGTAAAATTTTGTGTTCAGAAGAACCAAAGAGTGACAAGACATCTCATTTTTTGAGATTGTTTACAGAAAAAAGACTTAAAATTAATGATAATATATTATATTAGTTTATAAGAAATTTTAAGAGATTATAAGAGATTTTCGGCAAAATTATAATCAATTATAATTGTTTATATTTTATTATTTTTTCACGAAAAATGTTATCATTATAATGGATTATGAATCGTTTAAAGATCTAATTGTGGCGCGTATAATTAGTTATAGTTTTGATAAAAGTCCAATTATAATTGTTATATAATCGATTATTTTCTCTTTTTACTGAGTGCGGGAATAAGTCCGAATGACATATTTTGTAACAATTGTACGGCGTGAACAAAATATTGAGCACTTTTCCATTTTTCCTCCCGTTTGAACTTCAGTTTTGAAAAACTAAATTCACATTATGATAAAATAATGAGGCTCTTTTCCAGTCCCCCATTGAATTTTTCGGAAATTCAATATATGAAAGTCTATTTAGAATTACTTTTTTATAAACTGCACCAAAACGTGTCAGCGTGAACAGGTGAATTTCCGTGTGAAAAATTTTTGAACAGCTCTATTTTGTAATTTCACGAGGGGGGTGAGAAACTGGAATGGAGTCGCTCATGAAAATTCTCATGGTGAATAAACTATTTTTGGCACACGATTTCTCCCTCAAATAGTATCGAATGGTGAATACTTTGGTTGAATCCCTGATGAGTTGCAGAAAATCCGCCCATATCACCTTAAATCCGCAACTGACTCCAGGTATGGAACAAAAAGATAGGCTCTTTTTGAACAAACCGGCTAATGTGAAGAAATATTTTAGATGTAAGAACTCGCAGATGGGGGAAAGGAAAAATGCCAAATCATAACAATTTGTCGGCTCTTTTTCCTTTTTCCCCCACCTGCAATTTTTTACTATAAAAACTACTGTTCACAGTGTCCGATCATTATGAAAATTGACACGCAGACTAATTAGGATGTGCCAAACACATTTGGTCTTCATGTTTAACCTTGTAAAACTACTCGTCGTTAGTTGCACCATAAAAATGATGGTCGTGTGAGCTCCGGGGGGGGGGGGGGGGGGGGGGCGGAAAAAGTCCAAATTTGTCTTGCATGAAACTGTATGAAAAGCATTTTCGTGTATGAGGGTAACAACTTGTGTGTATTGGGAAGTCAATCATGGACCGATAACATAGCACGTGGGAAGCGTTTTTCACATCGAATTAAATTTGTTTGGAAATAGTCATTATATTCTATTCCGAACCAATTATAGTACATCTATGTTAAAACAGAAGTTGAGTATGTTATTTTGGATACACTATCACAAAAGATTTTACGGATGACTACATTTCCATTAGAAGATTGATTCCATTACCAGTGTTATTTTAACAACCATGGAATAACGAGCAGCAGTGTTTGATTATCATCTGGAAATTTATTTTCAATTACCGAATGGCATCAGCTAGCGTCCCATTTTTTGTAACCTTAGAGTAAGTCGCTGAAACTTTTTCTCAATATGAGCTCTCTTGGCTCTTTTCCAGTTTCTTGCACGCTCGTAAAAATCCAAAACAAAGCGGTTGAAAAAATATTCACACGGTTTTTTGCATGCAAGAAATGAGGTAAAAATTTGTTCACCTGTTTGCGCTGACACGTTTTAATGCAGTTTATAACATGAAAAGTCATTTTAAATAGATTTTATCGAATGAATTTCAGAAAAAAACCAAAGATGGGGGAAACTAGAAAAGAGCCGACTTTCGTATATTGAGTTTCAGAAAAAAATCAAAGGGAAACTGCGAAAGAGCCGCTCTCTTCTACCCTTATACTGTGATTTTGAGTTTTGACCGGGATTCCCGTGGTCGAAGTGATCCGGAGATACCGCTAAACTGGACCAATATCAACAAGCTTGAATTTTTTGGCGATCGCTCTTCTAGAAACAGTGTACGATCATCGCCCTCCCAGTTTTTACACAATTTTATGTTGTAATTCTACGAGGGTGGTGGGAAATGAAAAAGAGCCTGCTTTTCAAAACATTTTTGATGGCAAAAGAGGCAAAAGAGCTTATTTGTGCACGAACCTTAGCTATTTCATCTTGCAGCTGTTTTTTTTGAGATGTGTGATGCTGACGTTTAAATTCGCCTCTAAAGTCTTTATCACACATATCACCAAAAAAAAACAGTTGCAAGACGGAATAGCTAATGTGAGGGCGCAGAAAAAGACTCTTTTGCCTCTGTTGCCAGCAAAAAAGGTTTGAAATAACCGGTTCGTTTTCAGTTTCCGGCTTTGGCTTTTTTCCTTTTCCCCCACCTGCAAATTTTTACATATAAATTTGTTGACCACTTTTTTGGATTGTTATGAAAATTTACATACAGACTAATAAGGCCACGACAAACATATCTGGTCTTCAACTAAACCTCGTAAAACCACTCGTTACACTAAAAAATGAAGCTCGTGTGAGGTGGGTGGGGAAAGGAAAAAGAGTCCCGGCTTTTTTCCACTTACTCCCCAACATTGAGTTTCAGTTTTGAAAAACTATTTTCACGTTCTCTCATTGCAACAAAAATCTGCATTGTGAACAAATGAACTATTGTGAAAACATTTGTTTTTCAAACCTTACATCTTAGCATCACCTTTTTAGCCATAATAACACGTAAGACATTGAGAAAACAGAAAATATGGAATGTGGAGAGATAACGGAAAAGAGCACAAAAATCACTCTAATTAGGCTGTCGTGAGCTGAATTTTGGAAAAAGAAGGTTCTTTTCCAGCTTACCTCCTCCGCTTTGGTTTTTTCTGAAACTCGATATACTAAACGATGTTACTAAACGCCCCAAAATGGCTCTTTTCCAGTTCCCCCCTTTCAAAATACCGAGTTTTATATTTGTTTTACGTTTTATTACGGCTAAATGCGTAATTTTACGCTGTAAAGTATGAAGAACAAATCTGTTCAGAATTGTCGATTTGTTCACCACGCTTAATTTCATTGCATTGCGACAACGTTAAATAGACTTTTCAAAATTGAATTTGAAAGGGGGGGCTGGAAAAGAGCCTAAATTTTTGCGATAATTGGAATAACTTGAACAGAAAAACTGCTAGTGAAAAATCACAGGCGGGGAAAGAAAAAGAGCCGCTTTCTTCCGTCCCCCACTATTAGAAGTCAGTTTTGAAGAACTATTGTACCATTGTTTTGATGCCATCAAATTTGGCATGGCGAGCAAACTCACTATTGTGCACATATTTGTTCAAGTTCCGCCGGGAGAATTTTTGCCTAGAAACAGTCTAGTTTTGCTAGTGTTGGCTCTTTCCCACATCCGCCTTCTGAGAAATTTCATTTTGATATCAACTTTAATTTTTCATTATCCAATGAAACTTGACATGAGGAACAAACTAACCACTGCAACAAATTTCATTTAATTAGAAAATTTGAAATGTGGCGGGAAGTAAAATTTTTGGCTCTTACTGACTTTCCGTCCTACATTTGAAATTCCATTCCAAAAATTAGTCTTATTTTTTCAAAATGCATAGTGATCAAACTAACTTTTGGAAAAAGATAAGTTCTTCATAATTGTGTCATAATAACGCACGCGTAAAACAACTAAGAAAACATAAATTTTGAACGGTGGAGGAAAAGTGGAAAAGAGCCTTTAGATTGATAGTAAGGATATCCGGTTTGTGATATCTGAACTATAATATTTGAAAAAAAATCAGTTTTTTGCACTCCACATCAATTTTTGTTTATGTTGTGATGAAATAATCTGAACAAAAATATTCCTTTTCAAGAGTCTTTTTTAAAAGTTTTTCCAAAACAGCAGTTTTAGGCCTGCTATGAGTCTTTTATATTATTTTTATCGGCTATTTCCCTACTATATTATCACTATCATTCATTATGCTGAACTAATTTTGTTTATACGAATTATCATCAAATAAAAATTGATTTTTCTTGACATTGATGAATTTTTTTGAAAATTTTTTGTCTTCTGAATCAAAATGGAAACAATTTAAAAAAAAACAGATCATTTGACTCATTCCGATAGAGTTAAATCGCTTTGATGACAGTGCTTACAAGGGTGTAAACTGAGAAACAATCTGTTGTATCGATGACAGCTTTTCAAAAACGTTTAAGTGATGATTTTCTAAAACAATTGCTGAGAGACGTTGAATACTGTTCGGTCCGATAAAAGACAAATAGGACGACATACGGCTCAACTTTTGCATGGTTGTTAGCTGCTCACATACAGCGAAGAATGACTCTTACTGCAGAAATTTCAAAAAAAATTCCTCTGCATTTGATTCCGCTTTATCAGTTATGGGCATTCTGAAGAGTCTTTACTTATCTGGCATTCCGAAGAGTCTCTATTTAGGCGAGAGCCTCAACATAAAAATGCAACATCAACACCCCTGCTAATCCTGTGAGCGGGATGTCATCCCTCAACGCATGAAACTATCACTCAAATGATGTCGACTCAAAATTTTTGTCTAATCGTTTGGCGACAGAAACGGTCTGTTTCTTTTTCGCGATCAGCAACTGAAGAACCATAGTGCAGTCAGTCCACATAAAAACCTTTGGTATGCTCAATGTCATTGTTTTCTCGATGTCATCCTTCAATCGATAGCATCAATCCCTATTGGAAATTCCAACCGTTGAAAGCATCGTCATTGGCGCTACTCTCGCAATGCCAAAAAGGAAAAAAGATGACATTCGGAAGTGGTTTTCTAAGCCCAAAAGAACGCATGGAATGAAAAAATCTAAAGAGCTCTCACCGAACAAGTGCAGTTCAACTTGTCGCTCTCGCTCATTCTCATCTTCTTCTGCTTAGTGCACCACTCTTCTACATTGAGGACTGCCTACTGGAAGCTCTTCTCAGCGACTTGCGTTTTTTTTTGTTTTGAGCTCATTTTGAAAAATCATCAGCGAAGATCGAATTCCGCTTTGCCCGTACTGTTCTTTCTGAAGCCTGTCTGAGTATGAAAAAAAGCCCGCGGTCTTTCGCAAGGTAGTAGAACTGTGAAAAATCATTCTTTAGAGTGTCTTGACCGTGCATGAGGTGAGGCTCACATGGTGGTGTTACGCCATATTTGCCATATTTAGGGGAATTCAGCCTTATTAAAATACAGAAGTTTGCCCACGCGCACTCAGTCCGAGAGCTTGCAAGAGCAACTGATGAATATCATCAGGTCCAGCGGTAGCTTTTGACCTGGTTCTCTTTGTAGCTTGGTTGAGCTTACTGATGGTGAAGTCTGCAGTCGTGCTGTCGTTGGCTTTGAGTGCACTCAGTCAACGTTTTGTATCTCTGTTCCACTTCCTCTCTTCCTCGCTGAACTTGAGCTTGCAGATGGTCCTTGCATAATGGGCAGCAAAGGCGTCAGACTGTGACTGTTGAGAAATCAAACAGAGCAACGTTAGTGTGCAAAAAAGGCTGCTGAGCAAAAATTGCAGACGTAATGAATAATTCCTTGAGAAACATAGATCAAACAACGATAACCCGCTGACACCGAAATAATTAATTGCAATTTAGAAATATTTAGAAAAATCCCGTCTTTTTTTGAACACTCTATAAAAAAATTTTGACCAGAAATTTATAGAATAAAAAATTCGTTTGGTACGCGTGTGCATTTTCATATTTTTATCCAGTTTATTTAGTAGGGGCTATGATTTACTGTGTGGGTCTATACTGTGAAAGACACCGGTTACATCTCGAACAGTGATTGAACTGTTTATAGATCTACGTGGGTGTGTGTGGGGGTGTTGTGTTCTGTACTGATACTGCTGATTGTGTATGGGGCAGTTGTGGTGTGCAGAGCTGTGGGCTCAGAGGTACATGCAGACACAGTGAGGTTGATGGAACAGATGATTGCACTGGACCAACTGGCCAACCAGTACAATAACAACCAGCAGACCTCCGACTTACAAACAGGTAGACTCTGGGCTCTTTTTTTTCTCATTCCATTTATTCAATACAAAACAAAATGACTTAAAATTATGTAAAAATTTTCATTTTTGCCCTTTGTATTTTGAAAAGTTCGAAAAATTGATTCGTTTTCCTCCAAACCCCCGTCCCCCACCTGCGAACTTCTATCAATAAGTTTTTGTTCACACTGTTCGATTGATGTAAATAGGCCTTGACAATATTTGGTCTCCAAAGGCAACCTTGTAAAACCCCGTTAATACACTTTAATTTTGACGCCGATGTGAGGTGGGCAGGGAATAGGAGAAGGAGTCAACTATTTTGACCTTAATAAAAACCTTAAAGGGAAATGTGATATATATGGAAAGTATGAAAATGATTCTAACAAGTTGCAGGTTTTTTGCAAGAACACTTTTTCAAATGATAAAAGCAAACAGATTTAAGACTGACTTCAAGCAATCCAATTTTGTTGGAACGAAAGAAAATGAGCCAACATGCAGTGATTTGAGCGATACGAGATTTAAAAAGACGAGGGCGGACGCTTTTTCTCCTCAGGTATTCGACCCCCTGCCGATCCAAATGGTCCACCATTTGTACTATTTTGAGATATCCATTTTGGGCCCTAAAATTTTCTGACGGACCCTAAAATTTGTAAAAGCTTTTAGGGGGTGCGCGCGCCGAAAAAACGCAATTTTTTGTCAAAATTTTCCAAAGTGCCAAAAACGCCTTTTTTGGCCTGTTCTTTTTACAAAAGTTTGCCTTTTTTTCAAAACAGGCCTTTTTTAGTGCTTTGGGAGAGCACGGAAAACAATTTGATCGATCTAAAAAAACGTCGACAATATTGTCGAAAATTTTTTTTCCACGAATTTTTGCTGGATTCTGCAGTTCAGCAGCGCAAGTTCTTTTAATTCCAAAGACGAATTGCGGAATCTCCAGAGGTGTGCTAGGTAAATAAAACGACAGGCCACTAGGACGACGAGACATTAAGACGACAAATGAGATTAAAAACATGTAAAATATGCTTATCGAGCTTACTGAGAAATACAATAGGCGAATTTGCGCATAGCGTCGTCTTAAAGTCCCGCCCCGTCAAAAGCGGTTGTCGTCTTAACAGCTGTCGTCTCATTTGTTGAACACCCTCCAGAGGCCCAATGCTGATTGTCTAGCTAAAAGTTAGTCGGAACCCTTGGCTCCTTCTCTGTTTCCACACCTTTGAAGTTCGGAAGGAAATAGAGCCAAACCCTGTAACATATAAAATACAGAGATAAAATTGCATATTTTGTGATTTAATACTGTGGAATCCATTGATAGATGTCGAAATCTAAAAAATGCAGAATTTGCATCAATTTGCAATTTGTTACCAAACGCATATAACTTTGAATTTCAAGCTCAGCTTTTGAAAATTAATTATCGGCAAATTTGTGAGCATTATATGTCAGTGGTTCTCATATAAAAGTGATTTTGAAATTTTTCATTACTGCTCGTTTACCCGGAAATAGCCGCGGCCGCCAGATTATTGGGAATTGGCGAGAGCTTAAATTAATCGAATAGATCTAAGGTATTAAATCTAATTCAATTTAATTAAAGCGTGCTAAGGGTGGTGCTAAAACTTTATGACGTTAATTATGAAAAAGTCATAAAATCGGAAGCTACATCCAATACTTCATTCTGTCAAATTTTATCCAGGCGGTCTGATCACAATTTAATAGGTCAATCCGTAGTCTACAATGGGATGGCCCAATTGCCCAACACTAGTCGTAAAGGCATCATATTGCCTCCTGAAGTCATGGCACCACTGATCAACCGTGGTTGCATCCTGAATTTCTGCTTCTCTTTTGTCAAAAAACAAAGGTTCCGTTTCTGTCGCGTAAAGCCATTGGAAAAAAATTGCACAAGCCGTCCTCGTAAAATAATCTGATATAGAATTTGTCTTTTTTCACAGCTAGCAGCTTTGAGACGGGCAACGAGTAATTTTTTTCAAGCTAAAAACTTGAAATTAAAAATAATTTTCATAGAGCAGCCCGAGTTTCACCAAATACAATCGAAACTTGTTTATCTGAGCAGTACCTGATTCTGCCACGAAGGCGCAGAAGAAGTCCTCCGGGTCGAGGTCCGCGACTTGAAGAAAAACTTTGTAAGTCGCGCCGCATACCGTTTTCAGACTGGATTTCGCAGTCGCGCCGCGTGCTTAAGTCCCGCCGTCAGTATTTTCTTAAGTCGCAGTCATAAAGTCTTTTTTAAGTTGCGCGGTCAGTTATTTCCTAAGTCGCGCCGCTTAAGTTTTTCTTAAGTCGCGCCGCTTAAGTCTTTTCTTAAATCGCGCCGCTCAAGTCTTTTCTTAAGTCGCGCCACTTACGTTTTTTTTACGTCGCGCCGCTTAAGTCTTTTCTTAAGTCGCGCCGCTTAAGTCTTTTTTAAAGTCGCGCCCCTTAAGTCTTTTTTTTTAAGTCGCGCCGCTTTAGTCTTTTCTAAGTTGCGGCGCGACTTAAGATAAGACTGACGGCGCGACTTAAGAAAAGACTTAAGCGGCACGACTTAAGATAAGACCGACCGCGCGACTTCAGAAAAAACTTAAGCGGCGTGACTTAAGAAAAGACCTTAAAGGCGCGACTTAAGAAAAGACTGAATCGGCCCGACTTAAGAAAAGACTGAATCGGCGCGACTTAAAAAAAGACCGACGCCGCGACTTATGAAAATACTTAGCGAAAATGTGAAAATGGATATATGAAAATGTCGCGGCGGTTTATTCTCAGTCGGGTTGTTCTGAAATTACGTCGCGCCGGTTCCGACGGTGTTTTGAAACGCGCCGGTTGCGGTGGTTTTTTTTCAGTCGCGCCGGTCTTGAACTGCCAAATTTCGGTCGCGCCGGTCTTCAACTACCAAGTTTCGATCGCGCCGGTCTGGAATTGTCAATATAAAGTCGCGCCGGTCTGGAATTGCCAAATTTGAGTCGCGCCGGTCTTTTCCTAAGTCGCGGACCTCGAACCGGGCCTGTGAGATGTCTCTTTTCATTTGTAGTTCAGCACTATCAACTAGGCTGGTTAAGTGAAAAATGACGAAATGCCATCTGCCCTAACGTAGGCAAAAAACTAGAAATCCAATTTTTTTCTTGTAGTCATTGGAGAGATAATCAATCCGTATTGGCGATGAACTGTTCTCAATAGAAGACGCGTTCGGGCGGGGTGATGAAGGATGCGACTAAACCTATTGCTTCAAAAACCGAAGAATCAAAACAAAGCATGGTGCACTTTTAGTTTGCTCACGATTTTTCTTAACGTACAAGCTTACTAAGCTAACAAGATCCAAAGTTAGCTTTTATGCATTCTCTGGAGTTTTGAAAGAATAACTCAGTTTTTCGTCGGCCCTAGAATTTTAAAATACCTCATCATTGAACATCGCTGTTTTTCCTGGCAATTCGCTTTAATGCACAGTTTGTGCATATAGGCGAGTCTTTTCCATCGAGTATGTTTTGTGTGTGCTGATTAAAAGTGTCAGATTAACACCTCATCTAGGTGGAGTCCTCCCGCCACAAAAAAAAACGAAGAGCTGGTTGAATTTCCGGTAGAACAACTACTTGGAGGAACAATCCCTCGATTTATGCTGATTCAGCATGTTGGCACAGCAAGGAAACGGAGCAGAAAAACTTGAGACTTTTTGGTGGATGGGTCCCACTAACAGAGATTTAGTATAGGAAGTTTCACAAAACTTTGATGCTAATTAGCAAACATTCAACTCGCTGACTAGCAAACATTTATTTCTCGTTTGCTATAACTTAGGGAGCTGAGTCGGCGTTTTTTAATTTAAAAACAGTGCGTTTTTACACTGCGTATTCGTCATTGCAAATGATGCAGAATAAATTGAGACCACTTGATTAAAGCAGAAAAATTGGTCTAAGTCTTGTTTTCGCTGAGTTACTCTACTTTAGGTCTACTGTGCATTCTTCTTAGCTGCTCATCACTTCGGATTTTAGCTCGTCACTGCCTCATGTTTGGCGGAGACTTAGCAAGGGCTTGATTCAGCAAAAAATTTTCTTTTAAGGCCTCCTCATGAGACAAAGATCTAAGCACAGCTAAGTAAGTCATTTATTATCGACAAAAGCTTGGAATTGATCTCCAAATTATGCATACAGAACTGTGGAAAGCTCGTCAATTTGTATATAATTGCAGCCATATCATGGCATGTTGACCAATATTAAGTTTGTAAATGACCCCACGAAAATCAAATCAGCAATTACCGTTTTTGCTTTTCTAGTAACAAGAATTTTCAAAAATATCAATTTGACATCGTTTGATGGCGGACTGGATTCAACCCTGCTACAATTTTGATCGAACCACTTGAACTATTGCAAACTTTTGTCGTCATAATGCCAGAGCTTGAAAAACAGAATAATGGCCAAAATTTTGATGCCAATGGGTTTTTTGTTGAACTGTTGATTGTACATGTGGTGGTTGGGGATACTACTTTTCTACTGGTTGCTCAACATGCTGCTAAACATCTTTTGTTGACCTACTTGATTTGGTAGCATTGTTCATGATGGATAGAAAGCAAGACATGCACTCGTGTGTGGCGCCATACCAGTGTGATGTGGAGCTACATAAGACATTGAATTCAACAACGGAAGCAAAGAATTAAAGATATATTTATTAAAGATATACGAACTAAAGATCGCGTCTTACGAATTACCAAACGCGTCTTTATTTTTTACGTCCGCGACTAATTCAATGACCACCACGACTATTTTTTCGACCACCTCGACTATTTTTTCGACCATTGCGACAGAGTTGTTTTTGACCAATTCGACCGCCGCGTTTTTATTTTTTACTGTCGCGACTAATTTTTCGTCTGCCGCGACTAATTTTTTGACCACCGCGACTAATTTTTCGACCACGGCAACTAGTTTTCAAACAATTCTTTCCAGTTGATGGGATCAAATCACTATTCCTGTATAAAAAATAGGTCTGTTATTGTTTACGGAAGAAACGTATCATGATTGCTCAATTGGCTGTTTCAAACAATATGATAAGACAGATTATTTTAGAAATATTGGAAAGGTCACTTTGTCACTTCTAGGCGATGGTAAAGACAACTCAGGAGGAGATTTGGATGAAGATAGTGGGAAGTCATTCCGCAAGCAGCGCAAGTTTATCCTCGAGGGAGACGACGACTCGGTGCTCAGTGGAGCGGAGTCGTCGGAGGACTACTCGGACGAAGAATCCCCCAGTCGCCGAGGAACTCCCAGCAGTCGGGAGTCCAGTGCGAGAATCAGGAAAGTAGGAGAGGGGGGAAGGACTGCTTCGGCTATTGCCAAGGCTTACGGTAAGGCTTAAAGCCACAGATATTTGAGTGTCGAGTTTGTGAAATTATGGTAGCGCGGTCATAATGCAAAAAAAAATTTGATTGATAAAAAAAAAACAATCGCAGACGCATTTATTCATAGAGGCATCAGAAAAAATATGAACTGGAAAAATTTTATTTAATTTAAGTTTGTGATTTAGTAAAAATCCGTTTCTTGGAAGCGTACCAAACAACAAAGGCTCATTACTCGCAGTTGTTTTTTGTTATATTTTACGTTCAATTTGTTAATTCTGATTGAAAACAACTGATATCTGAAAATTGAAACATAATCTTTTGAAAATCTTTTAACTTGTTCACCGTGAAACTTTTAGCATCTTTTTATCTGCATTCAGGAACACTTTTCAGCAAAATTGAGGGGTCTAAAAAACAACCAAATGTTGGATAATGCTAATTCCGGGCATACCACAGAAAAATTTTAGAATTCTCATCTCTGTCTATTTTTTTTTCAATTCGTTATATTTGACAAATAGCGCAGGAAAAAAAAGAGAAAAGAACGGTAGAAAAGTTTAACGCTTAAAGAGGTGAGCTCGTAAAAATCATAAGGTTGCCTAAAACGAGTTCACACTGCAAGTTGCCAAAGGTGTCTTTAGAAAACATGGTTCCAAGGGAACTTACAGTGATCTACCCCCCCCCCCCCCCTCCCCATATTTTTCTTAAAGCATAGGCAATAGGTTTTCATGCAGAAGAAGGTTAATGTTAAGATCGAATACAGTCGATTTACGCGAAATTAAAGTTCATCAAAATATTCGGCGTTACACTTTAGTTCGACCTCCATCTGCGGGCTCAATACTGAAAGACCGCCGAAGACAGACTCGCAACATATCAAAGAAAAACATGATGGATCTAACTAGACAATCCAAAGTACATCCAAGTAACTTCGAACTGGAAGACTACAACGAGCCAACGAACGTTCCGAACGACATTCCCTTGCCAGCTTATGCGTCGGTTGCTCCGAAGGCATGGTCAGGCGGAGGCGATCTTCAAGTGACCTCTGAAGTTGACACAGACACTCGAGATTTGACCTCAGAAGATATTCCAGTCGAGAACCCAAAAGATGTTGCAAATGACACCATCTCGGGCGATGAGTCCGAAAACAGTCAAGGGAATCTCGAGGAATCTCGAGTTGCCTTTGACAACTTGGTGGCTATGCGTTCCGGAGTAGACTCCGAGATGGCAAGTCGTATGTCCGAGAGCACACAGCACGAGTACGAGTCCTCGTCTACCTTCGCGACCGGGACTGCCAAAAAGTACAAAAGAAAGATTTCCAGACCAGATTCCGGGTATCACAAATAAACCAAATTTGCTCACAGCTATTTTACCTGAAGTTAAGGAAATTGAGACAATCGCAATTAGTGGAACGTAAAATTTTTAAGTCTATGATTCTTCTTGCTTTAACCATTAAACATTGAAAAATAATTTTGAAAATATCAGTGGTTTATAAATAAAACTTATTATACTCAATTGTTATATGAACTGTTGTAAGAACTGTGTGTAGTAGCGAACTTGTCTTAAGTAGTAAGATAGAAATTGTTCAAAAAAATGAAACCATTTGGCAAAAAGAAACAAATATTTCAATACGAAAATTTGTAGATCTCCGATATCGGCGTAATTAATGTGCGTGGTTTTTTGTGTTAAGTACTTGATATCTTACTCTAAGTTATAACTTTTTTTGAAGGCAGTGAGTTTCTGATGCATGAGTTTTTGAGGCAGTGAGTTTTTGTGCAGTAATAACCACAGGGTTAAAAAAGTACATGTTAAATAACTGACGACACCAATAATGGAGAGTGAAATGCACAATTTTCCCAGTTTGTTTGCATTAGAAAAAAAGACCTAAAAAACAGCTTCCTTCGTAGCACGAACAATTGTTTGATAGAAGTCTTATCACTTCAATTTAACCCTAAGCTCTTAAAACACAACAAAACTGCTCGTATATCAGAGGAAAGCCCTGACTGTTCCGACTGTGATTGATTCATATCGAATAGTTTTTGAGAAAAATATTGATAATCTATTAATTTTGGACAATGTCAAAGTGTGAAGTTTTGAGTCGTACAAAATGCTGGGTGGCATCCCTCATGCTGGAGGGACCGAATCCTTAAAATTCATTTTTGCTTATTTTCAGCCAATCACAATTGAGTATTCAAAAATCTCAACGAAGTTGCGAAAATTTCAAAGGAAGCGAATAAATCCAGGCCATTAGTGTTAATATTGCCCAAATACAAAAAAAGCAGATGAAAGAAAATAATTCCGGATCGAAGGCGGACTTGAACAAACTTAATATTTTAAGAATACCGACTTACAAAAAATGGAAAAATGAAAAGCTAAGTTTATTAGATCTGCACCTATTATATATGCATCTATTATCCTTTTTATATTATCATTTTCTGTTAATTTTGTCTTCGGTTTTGTGAGAAAGGCATTTAGACATTAGGAACGCTTAGCGAGTTTGATTGGTTGAAATTTTCCAATATTCGGTCCCTCGAGCCTGAGAACCTTTCCCGTACAATATTAATACGACCGATTAACTAGCCTCAATTCAATTTGGAACGATTTTGTTGTGTGGGATAATTGGCCACAGCAAAACAGTTCGAGTTTCGCTTTGAGCATTATGAGTAAACTCTTCAAAGCGCACATAATGTAGTCCAAAATTGGGCAATTTGGCAATTTTCAAACCCCTAGAACTTAACAAAAAATGATCGGATGTTGAATATCTTTTTCAAATTTGAACTCAGAGAGTCGATATCTTCAATGGGTTAAAAAAAAATTTGTTGAAAACTATTATTTTGATCGGCGAAATCTGACTGAATAAAAAACCACACCGAGCATAAATATTCCGTTTTCTTCGAAAGTCGGAACAATGATTTATGATTAAACAGCTCGTGCAAAGGCTTGATTGTTCCGTTCCGACTGATCTGTAAACGGTCCAAACTGAAGTTATGAAGAAAGCTTTTTAAAATGTGCAAAATTTGAAATATTCGATTTTCGTCAACCAACGGCTTATTTAAATAATAAAGTGGTTAAAATTTAATTTGACTGGTCGTCAATATGACTATTTAGCATGGTTGAAATCAACTTCGAAGGATATTTCACCACGCATAGATAATTTGTGATACTGCTTCAGTAAAACAGAAAATTTCAAAGCGCGCAAAAGTTAGAACAGAACAGTGAAATTTTGCAAAAATTGCTTCACAAAAGTAACGTAGGGTCAAGTTTTGAAGATTCAGTCAAAATAGCCAAATACAAGAATGCCAAAAACTAAAACACTGCTTAAAAGAGCAGAGAATAGACGAAAGTAGGCTTTACAAAAAGTAGAGGAAAAAGCTGTAAACACCAACTTACCAGCAACACGAGTCGAAAAAAATTCGGTAAATGCTTGTGGAGTTAATCAAAACAGCAATTGCTTTTTATGTTTCATTACTACAGAAACTAAAGAAAAACTGTATTCTCATTTTTGGTGTCGCTTTTTTTCTTAATTAAAAATGAAACTAAGTGCCATATAAAACTTGCCACTCACTTCAATTTTCAGTTTTTTTGTGCTAATTGCCTGGAAAGTATGCATACTAGCTCAAAACTGAAAGAAAGCGACTAGCTCAAAGTATACATAACCGTAGCATTACTCGATACAAGAGGAGAAAGAGTTTTTTTCAGTTTCAGTTAATTACCGAAATAACAAAGTTAAGGTCTCCATACAGAGGATCCAATTTTGCTAAATGACTGAAGAACAACACAGAACGGTTCAAATCGTTTTTTTATTTATTCAAAAAGAATTTTGCTAGCAAAGATAGCAAGAATTTTTGCTATTGTAACATATTGGAATTAAATTCTCAAATTGAGGCTAAAACTGTTTTTTTTTTAAACTTTAGCCTATTTTTTAGTTTTTTGTGCAGAGTTTCACTATCAGTGTCCGCAAAAGTGAAAGAAAGTGATAACAATCAATTAAATTTGGATTATAATATTACTATTTTCGAGGAAAAAATCTATTTCTAATCCATTATAACCGATTTTTTTTTACTTTCGTCGACACTGACAATAAAACTCAAAAAACATCGATTTTTCCCACTTTGTTGATATGCGAATTCCATCGCACATGAAGTCTTTTCTACTTTTTAAACTAAAGTTGGTTATTTTTGATTATTTAAAAAAATTGATAATTTTTTTTCTTTTTATGTTACTCAATAGCTGAATTTTGACCCTTTCAACAATTGCCCGCTTCTATTCCCTCCAATGTTCGCCCCTTTGCTCCCTTTGTGCTCTTACACCCGCCATTCCCCACCTGAACCAATCCCAACCCTGCCCCCTCCTGAACCAACCCCCTCCACCAAATGAATCCCAACTGAACCAACCCCCCCCCCCTTCACCACACGCACACACTCACCATACCTGAATCGGATCAAAGGGTGGGGGGTTCAAGTGGATGGGGGGGTTGTTGGTTCATGTGCGGGGGTCGGGTGATTCAGGTGGGGCGGGGTGGTTCAGCGTGGGGGGGGGGGGGGGGGTCGCAGAAGGCCAGGTTGGGGGGGTTTCAAGTGTGGGGGAGGACAAAGAGGAAAACGTTGGAATGAGGGTTGTAAGGGAGCAAAGGGCCAAATGTTAGGGGGAGAGGTCAACGAAATCTTTTTGCACGTTGAGTTTAGGTTTAAAAAAGGAGTAGGACTTTCACTCACTTTGCAAAAATTTTGCATTACTCATTTAGTTAAATGCGAAAGTGAAGTGGAGAAAAAATCCAATTTAATTTGATTTTTTACTTGTTTTATAATCCATTATAATGGATTTCAAATGAATTATAATGCATTAAGTTTCTGCCAGAAAAAAAATTAATTTAATCCATTTTTTTTGTCCAATTTTGTTGTCTAAGCCCAACATGGGAATCGATTATACTGGCAATGATTTAGACCTCAAAAATCCAATTTAATAAGTTTTTTTGCACTTTTCTTAGATAGGTTAAACTTTTCACAAAAAAAACTAAATTTGCATTAGTTTTTTTCGTGGTTATAACAAAATTATTTTATTTATGGAACCTGCAATATTACAGTAGAAATGTTTGCATCTGTGATCAAGCTTACATCATCACCAAAACACCAAGAAAAACTTAGAGCAATACCTTATTTCTCTGATTTAAAATGAGTAAAATTACAACTTTTTTCATTGGCTCACCCCTTGTGTACTGCTTTCAGGTATCCAATTTTGGCTAAACGATCATAAACTTTTCGAAAGGCTCCAACAGCGCCAATATTTACTCATTTCAAGAAGAAAACTTTTTTGGCTTGACTCCGCCGCAGAAAGTTTGATCAAAACAGTGTCTTTTTAGTGATTTTGAGAACCCGAAAAATCAATTTGGTCGGGCTAACCATAAAAAATGCCAACAACAATTTGAACAATTTTTTGAAAATCCACCCTCCTCGAGAAAGTTTTAGACCCTCCCTTGCTAAAATCTCTGATCTTCACCCAGATCCGCATTTATATCAAACTTAAAATTTGAGTTTTTTTCTCGGTACAAGTAGTGCACCCAAAAAACCAAAACACAAAAATATAAATCATAAAGAATTAGCGATAAGCCATAATCTTGTTTCAGCTGTTGTAAAACTAATTTCAGTAAATCCTGTAACATAAATTCACTCGCAAAGCGCAATAGCTGTGTAAAAAACATAAATGTTAATTTTCGGCAAACTTTTCATCGGCACTTACCTCAGCGACGCATTTTGAAGAGAAGTTTGAAGTTTTTAAATACACAATGAACTATTACAGAAAAAAATTGTTTCGCGCCGTGACAAGTTTTATTGGAATGAAAAAATTTTATGGTCAACCAGTTTCAGTCAATTTAGACGCACCCGCTCACAAATTTACGGATCATCGCAAGGTCGAAAAAACAATAGTTAACTCTCACTTGACTCGAGAAAAACAAATCACAGTACTTACTCGTTTACATAATCTGAAACAAATGGCAAACTTCTATCAGGTCTTGCTACCTGTTTCTAAACCTCCTAAGTAGAGCAAAAAAAGTTAGTAATAAAAACGATATATTACGAAAAAAAAACTCAAACATTGTAGGAAACAAGGTATTCAAACATTGTACGAAGACAATATATATCCACTTAATATTTGTTGTAACTCAATTTTGATTTTTCCTGCAATTTCAAGCAATCATTAGATGAGTCACCTCGAAACGTGTTTGCTAAAAAGTGAATCAGTTCCCTTACAAGAATCTCTCATAGTTATTGCTAATTTCGGCTCTTTTCGTGCCTCATGCAAGCTGTTTTTTTTGTAGGTACCAGCATAGTCTTCAGAGAATGCGCTCGTATACAATTGTGGTTTTATTAGCAGTGCGGTATTTAAGTGCTCTATATTCGAATAAAGGCCTATATAGATATTGTAAATTTGAAGAAAATGTTTCCCTATTAAATTTTTCCTCATTAAGTG